GGAGGAGCAGACCGCTTGGGCGCCTCTTGGGGCACTCTGAAGGCCTCCCGGGGCTTCCTGGGGGTCTCCTCGAGGCCTCTTGGGGGCTTCCTTGGACATCTTGGGGGCCTTTGGAGGCTTCTTGGGAGGATTGTTGGCCGTCTGACGGTGTTCCTTGCCCGTCCGACGCCGTAGGAAGCCGTCTTAGGGGGTCTTTCTGGGCCGACTTTCGTATGGGGACCGCGCGGTAATGAATTGCGTTGGGAATGTGGGGTTCGAGGCGGTGGCCATGTGTTCGAGGAGGACGGGCAGGAGGAGGACTGCGAGGGGAAGGATGGGCAGTTGCTCACCCTCCTGCACTCCCTCGCAGCACCCAGCCCCTTGACGCTTGCACCTGGCACACCCTGGCACACGTGACATCGCCACACCTCCTCTTCCTCCACCTGCCCCTCCCCCATCCGAAAGGCCAGACCACGAACCTTTCCAGAGGTACTCCAGATTTCGTAATAAAAGGGAGGGGGTCACAACCCTCCAAGACAAGCCATTTCAGACCTCCCCCGTGGGAGAACCCTCCAACACATCGTCCCCAGACCCCCCCAGGCCCTCCAAGATAGCCTGGAAGAGAGCCCCCCCGAAATGAGACCCCCCTCCCTTTCTTACGAAATCTGGAGCACGCCGTGGCCAGCATCTCAAGGAGACTCGGGCCGCGGCGACGAGGAGCCTCCCGGAGGCCCCAGCAGCAGTGCGAGGCACGCCCCCCAGCACCTCGGGCCTCGAACCTCCACCGCGTCCTCCCTCTTTCGGCCGCACTTGCTCCGCCCCCCGCCTCGTCCTCGCCGTGGCATGGGCCATCGGTGGCCGCCACCGATGGGTGCCGTCGGTCACGACCTCGCCGTGCATCGCTGGCCCAGAGGCCTCTCACCACGCACCAAACCACCCCAGCCCAACCCGAAGGCCTCCACTTGCCCTCCATTTCCAGTGGGGGGGGTGGGGGAACATTGAGAAAACCCATATGGAACCCGTACCCCCCCCAACCCGAAATTCTTTACGCTTCGCGTATTCCCACCAGCCCATCTCACAGCAGCAACTCTTGCGAAGCATGCCGACAGTCGTGTTTTTCAGGCGTGTGTCCGCTTGGCCCCGCATATCTCCTCTGTTCCTCCTTCCTCCCGCCTCCTTGTACATCCTCCTTGTGGGGGGAGCGGGAGAAGGACGAGGCGGAGGAGGAGGGAGAGAAAGCGCTCCTCGTGATTTGAGTCGTTTGGGGTTTCTCGTCCTGGTGTGAGTCGTTCGGGCCCTTCTTCCTGGTGTGAGTCGTTCGGGCTCTTCGTGGTGTGAGTCGTTCGGGCTCTTCGTCCTGGTGTGAGTCGTTCGGGCTTCTCGTGGTGTGAGTTGTTCGGGCCCCTCATCCTGGTGTGAGTCGTTCGGGCCCCTCCTCCTGGTGTGACTCGTTCGGGCTCCTCGTGGTGTGAGTCGTTCGGGGCCCGCGTCGTGGTGTGAGTCGTTCGGGCTCCTCGTGGTGTGAGTCGTTCGGGCGCCTCGTCCTGGTGTGAGTCGTTCGGGCCCCTCCTTGTGGTGTGAGTCGTTCGGGCTCTTCGTGGTGTGAGTCGTTCGGGCCCCTCGTCCTGGTGTGAGTCGTTCGGGCTCCACGTGGGGCCTCTTGGGGGCCTCTTGGAGCCTCTTGGGGCCTCTTGGGAGCCTCTTGGGGGCCTCTTGGGGGCCTCTTGGGGGCCTCTTGGGGCCTCTTGGGAGCCTCTTGGGGGCCTCTTGGGGACCTCTTGGGGGCCTCTTGGGGCCTCTTGGGGGCCTCTCGGGGGCCTCTTGGAGGCCTCTTGGGAGGCTCCTGGGGGCCTCTTGGGGCCATCTTGGGGCCTCTTGCGACCTCCTCAGAAGCGCAAAGAAGCACTGCCTCCTGAGAAGGACAAAGTGAGGCCAACACCTTCGTAAAATCAATGATTTTGCCATGAAGGAAGATGAGCGCGGCCCCCTCAGGAGGCCAAAATGGGGCCCAAACCCTCGTAACATCAATGATTTCTGCTTCAAAGACGAGCAGAGGGGCCAAACTCGGTCCCCCCGTCGGGGCGAGAATCCTCGTGAGGGTCGTCGTTTTTGAGCCCTCCGAGGAGTAGTAAAAGATTCCCTTGACACCACTCGGGACTCCCTCTCCAGGCCCAGGGGGAGGGGGTAGGGGGAGGGGTAAACCCCTCCCCGAAGGGGAAGAAGGGGGGTTGAGGACAGAGCGGGCTCTCTAAACCACTCACGCCCAAAGGGCTGGTGGGATTCAGGTCTTCGGGTTGGGTTGGGGTGGTCTGGTAGGTAGTCAGCCTCGGCCTCAGATCTCGAGAGCGCCGAAGGGAGATGAAGGACTAGGCAGTGTGCGGATCATCGTTGGTGCAGTGGCAGCTGCCAGATGTCATGGCCCCTCCCTTCTTCTGTCAACACGTCCCTGTCGCAGAGGCCTCGGCCTCAGATCTCGGGAGCGCCGAAGGGAGACCGATGACTCACGGTGTGCGGATCGTTGTCGGTGCAGTGGCAGTTTCCAGATGTCATGGCCCCTCGCTTCTCTTTGTCAACACGTTCCCTTGCTCCCCCCGTCCGCGTACATGCCTCGGGGCACGATGCACTGACTCCCCTCGTCGTGGCCCCCCCTCTTCCGCCCACTCGGGCCAGGGGGTGGCGCGAGGGGGGGCTGCCTTGTGAGAAGGGTGGGGGGATTCTTACAGCATCAGGTGGCATCTTAGAAGGCGCCTGGATGCTCCTAAGAAGCCACCTGACTTCTTAGAACCCCCATGTGCGCGCCTAAGAAGCGAATAGATGCTCCTAAGGTGCCTCTAAGAAGCCACCCTCTGGGGAGGCGCCCCTCCTCGTGCGCGCCGCCGGCAGCTTTCCGAGCCGCGCACGCCCGTGGCTACGAGAACCTCTCAGAGCTCCTTGCCAGCCTTGCTCGTCGAGCGCCTTCCACTACTCGCAAAGTAGCTACTCGCCAACGGCCTGGACTCCCCGCGGGGGATCTGCGAGAAGTTACGTCAGAGCAGCCGTGAGTTGTTCGGACGTTTGCGAGTAGGCACTTTGCGAGCAGTGGAACGCGCTCGGCCACTTGCCCCGAGCCGTGCCTGGCCGTGGCGGCGAGGACCTCCCAGGAATGGCCAGACATGGCGTTGTCGTCGTCGTCGTCGTCGTCGTCGTCGTCGTCGTCGTCGTCGTCGTCGTCGTCGTCGGGCGGAGGCCCCCTCTGCCCCCGTGGCGGCAGGCGTGCGAGCGATGGGCGGCGGCAAGAAGCATCCCCGCGGCGGTCAGGCCGCCGTCGCACCCAGCGCGCGCCCGCAGGCGCCCGCCCCTCTTTGTGGCGGCGGGACCTGGGTGAGGGGCAGCCCTCCAGAGCCCGTGTGCTCTGGAGGATCGGGGGGGGGTGGGCGGAAAGCATGGGGACACAGACCTGATGGAAAGTCAGGAGGGCGAGGAGGAGGGCGAGGAGGGCGAGGAGGAGGGGGAGGAGGAGGGCGAGGAGGAGGGCGAGGAGGGCGAGGAGGAGGAGGAGGAGGAGGAGGCTGGCCCGCTGCCTGGACGCACCGCGGGACCGCCCACGGCCCCCCGCGGCCGCGGAGGCGCGCCTCGCCCGAGGAGAGAGCGCCCCGCCGAGTGAGAGGGCCGGGTGCCCGGATCGCCCCGGGTGAGGGGCAGCCCTCCAGAATCCGCCGTACTCTGGAGGATCGGGGGGGGATGGAAAGAATGAGGACACAGACCTGATGGAAAGTCAGGCGATCGCAAACATGCATCAAGGGGGCGTGGATTGGCGACGGGTCCCATTCTCATGGGAGATCGCGGAGTTCCGCCGCCGAACGAGGCGGCACCAGCCGCATTTTGGGGAGGGCACCTCCCCCGATCCTCGGGTTTTGCGATCGCGCGCCAAATCCAGGATCGCTAATCTTGTGGATGCCACGACAATGGACACCCTAACAGTCCTATCATTGAGTTTCAAATGTGTTTAACATGTGGGAACACGTCTCTAAACATGTTTTAAACATGTCTAGAACATGTTCAAGACATGGTTTAGGCATCTGGAAGTTATTTGGCAACATGCTTCCTCTCCACTGATCGTCCTCCACAAGTTCATGCCCCCCCCAACGAAAGCCTGAGATGTGCCTGGCTGGGGTGCTGGCCTCCGCCGGCCCCCCTCGAGGAGCGATGTCTGAGGCCTCTCGTCCTCGGACGAGGGGGCTCGAGGCGGTGGTTCTCTACCCTCGGCCTCTGGGGGCCCGCAGCGGGCCTCCAGGCCAACAAACCTCGGGCAGGACGAAAGGGGGGGATTTCGAGCAGTGGCGAAGCGTCTTGGCTCGCCTGTAGCCCTACCAAACAATGTTCTAAGAACCTTTTGTGGTTTCCACGAAATGCTCTTATAGTATTTCTGGCTGGGGTCGTCTTGTTTCATCACATGGGGTTTATGTTCTACGAACGTTGTTTTTTAATATTAAGTAAAACATTTGTGGGTTCCAAGAACATTTCGCGGTTGGACTATAGGAATGCCAGGACGGTCGGTCCCTGCTCAAGGATTGGGAAAGGTGGGGTTACGAAATTTGTTGCATGCAGCTGGCTTCGGCCTCACCGAGGGGCCCACTTCTTCATACGTAGCCGCCTCCGGCGCCGAGAGGCGGCGGGAAAATCAGCTACGTGAGCTGATTCTCCCCCCCCCCCCTTTGCTATCCCCCCCTTTCGCCCGACCCGAGACGAGGGGGCTCGAGGCGGTGATTCTCTACCTTCGGCCTTGGGGGCCCGATACGGGCCTCCAGGCCGACAAACCCGCCAGGGTGGATCCCAGGATGGTTCTGTGGGTAAGAAGTTTTGAGCGGGGCGCTGGTTCGAGGAGCGAGGACCGAGGTGTGTGGACGCTCTGGGGAGCTGCTTGGGCCTTCTGGGGCGTGCTCGTTGCCACGGTCGGGTTCCTTTCGAAATGTGGATCGGAACGCACCACTGTAGAGGTCCAGGGGTCGATTCTGGAGGACGGTAATGACCTCGAAGCGAAGGCACCCGATGTTCGATGCGTGCATGCCACACTATAGAACGATTCTCGCCCACCGGCACCGGCACCGGCACCGGCACCGGCGCCGGCACCGGCACCGGCACCGGCACCGGCACCGGCACCGGCACCGGCATTGGCGCCGGCACCGGCACCGGCACCGGCACCGGCACCGGCACCGGCACCGGCACCGGCACCGGCACCGGCACCGGCACCGGCACCGGCACCGGCACCGGCACGGGCACCGGCACCGGCACCGGCGCCTGCGCCGGCGGCATTGGCACCAGCACCGGCACGGGCACCAGCGCCGTCGCCGTCGCCGGCGCCAGCACCGGCACAAGCACCCGCACCCGCAACCGCACAGGCACCAGCCCTGGCACCAGCACCGGCACCGGCGCCGGCGCCAGCACTAGCACCGGATGAAAAACATCATTGACATTGAACATCATGACATTTCCCAAACAGTGCTTGCACTTAGGGGGCCTTCTCTTTTCTTTCCTAGTATTAGCTGGGTCGTCTGAGGGGCGGTCTGGCGGCTCTCTCCTCCTCGCCGTTGCCGCCCTGTCGCCGCCCGTCGTCGTCTGGGCTTGAGGGGCGGTCTGGTTTTTCCGTCCTTGCCGTCGCCCCCCCTTGCTGCGTCGTCGCCGCCCGTCGTCTTGGCCTGAGGGTCGGTCTGGCGGTTCCTTGCTCGTCGCCGTCACCGTCCCGTCGCCGCCTCCTCGTCGCTGCCCTGTGCGCCCCCCCAGCGGTTGCAATCCAATCGGTTGCAAGCCAATCAAGTGCAAACCCAGTGGAATCGATCGCAGTCCAATGAATGGTAAAATTATGCAAACGCAGTTCCCCACATAAAAAATATTAACAGTTTCGTGGGACCCAATGGGGTACGACAACATCAACACGAAGGCGAAGCTCATCGAACGAGTAAGTACGCACGAAAGGGCAGACGAAAGAAAGGAGGAGGGAGGACAGGTGCTCAGGAAACGAAGCCTTGTAAATAGTACGGGTTGTTGATACCCTCTTCGCTCTGTCGGGGCCCCGCTGGAAGAGGGGAGGCCTACGAAACCTGGTAAAGAGTAATGCTGTCCGCGACCCTCCTCGTTCAAGCGAGTCCTCCTCCTCCTCGTCGTCCTGCTCCTCCTCGTCCTCCTCATCCTCGGCATCATCATCATCACCAGCATTATCGTCGTCATCATCAGCATCATCAACAGCATCGTCGTCACCCCGTCGCCGTCGTCATCATCAGCATCATCGTTAGCATCATCAGTATCAACATCATCATCATCATCATCATCATCGTCAGCATCATCGGCATCATCAGAACCATCATCATCATCATCATCAGCAGCATCATCATCGCCAGCGTCATCGTCATCATCATCGTCGCCGCCACCATCGTCATCATCATCATCATCATCATCATTGTCATCATCATCATCATCGCCATCATCATCATCAGCATCGTCATCCTCATCACCATCACCGTCCTTGGCATCGTCATCGTCCGCATCATCGTGGACGTCGTGATCATCAGCATCATCGTCGTCATCATCATCAACAGCTCCAGCAACGCCAGCATGAGCAGCAGCATCGTCATCATCACCAGCATCTGCATCATCATCCTCGTCGTCGTGGCCATCGTTGTCATCATCGTCATCGTCATCATCATCATCGTCATCATCACCAGCACCATCATCATCATAATCACAGTTATCGCCATCGTCATCGTCCATCACCATTATCGCCATCGTCACCGTCATCGTGAACAGCAGTATAACCATCGTCATCACCATCATCATGATGAAGCCTTCCGCATCGCAGAACTCCCCCTCCTCCTCACCCTCCTCAGTGGGAGGAGTAGGACGTGAGATGGATAAGTCATGTTCTCCCCTCCTCCTCACCCATGTCAATGGGAAAGGCACGAAGCCATTTAAATAGTATGGGTTTCCGATACCCTCCTCGCTCAGACGGGGCCTCCCTGGAGAGGTGGTAGGGGCACGAAACCATGTTAAATAGCATGGGTTTCCGATACCCTCCTCGCTCAGGCGGGGCCTCCCTGGAGGGATGGGAGGGGCACGAAACCATGTAAATAGCATGGGTTTCCGATACTGTCCTCGCTCAGGCGGGGCGTCCTTGGAGAAGTGGGAAGGGCACGAAACCATGTAAATAGTATGGGTTTCCGATACCCTCCTTGCTCAGGCGGATGGAAAGGGCACGAAACCATGTAAATAGTATGGGTTTCCGATACCCTCCTCGCTCAGGCGGGGCCTGCCTGGATGGGGTGGGAGGAGCACGAAACCATGTAATCTTTATTAATTTCCGATACCCTCCTCGCTCAGGCAGGGCCTCCCTGGAGAGGTGGGAAGGGCACGAAACCATGAAAATAGTACGGGTTCCCGATTCCCTCCTCGCTCAGGCGGGGCCTCCTTGGAGGGGAGGGAGGGGCACGAAACCATGTAAATAGTGTGGGTTTCCGATACCCTCCTCGCTCAGACGGGGCCTCCCTGGAGGGGTAGGAGGGGCACGAAACCATGTAAATAGTATGGGTTTCCGATACCCTCCTCGCTCAGTCAGGCGGGGCCTCCCTGCTGGAGGGGTGCCCTCCTCGCTCAGGCGGGGCCTCCCTGGAGGGGCGGGAGGGGCACTGCTGGGAGGTGGGAGGCGGGAGGGAGAAGGAGAGGATGTTCTGGGAAAACAAGAACCCGCACCAGCACCGGCCACCTGCACCAGCACCGGCACCAGCACCGGCCCCGGCACTGGCACCAGCACCGGCCACCGGCCACCGGCACCGGCCACCAGCACCGGCACCGGCACCGGCACCGGCACCGGCACCGGCACCGGCACCGGCACCGGCACCAGCACCGGCACCGGCGCCAGCACCGGCACCGGCAGTGGCACACCGGCACCGGCACCGGCGCCGGCACCGGCACCGGCACCGGCACCGGCACCGGCACCGGCACCGGCACCGGGGCAAGAATCGCTCATGCTTTGCATGCCAGAGGAGGAGAGGGAAGAAGAGTCCAGGGTGGGTGTTTCTTCTGGGGGCCATTTTTGGTCGCGGGCCGAACGTGACGCAGGACGAGATGTTCGCCCCTCGGGAAGGCGTCGCGAGTTCGGAGGCACGCCTCTTGATTGTTTTTTGTTTGTTTGTTTTGTTGTATGGTGTGTAGTCTGTGTGTATGTTTACACACATGTGCCTGCACAGCTGCATAGATACACTGCCATCCAGGGTGGACCCCAAGCTGTGGATTGTTGCGCTGTGGAGGAGAATGTTATGCTGAGTAAGAGAGACGTGGTACTAGCTAGTGTGTGCAAACCGTGTGTTGACATCTATGTGGTGCAATATCTGTTGTGTAAGCTGTGCGATGGGAGCCAGGTTGCGTAAGCTGTGCGACCCATGTGGTGTGAGCAATGTCCCGTCAGATCTGTTACTCCAGATTTCGTAATAAAAGGGAGGGGGTCTGGACCCTCCAAGGCAAGCCATTTCAGACCTCCCCCGTGGGAGAACCCTCCAAAACATCGTCCCCAGACCCCCCCAGGCCCTCCAAGAGACCCCCCCCCGAAATGAGACCCCCCTCCCTTTCTTACGAAATCTGGAGTACCCCACGCAGGGCACGGGGCGCCCGCGGTCGCCAACGAGACGCCCACGGGCGGGCGCCGGGCCACGCCTCGGCGGACCCACCGAGGCCACAGGGGGCTCGGAGGTGGGCAGACCTCCCCACCCTGACGCGTCGACTCGCGAATCTTGCCGTTTTCCGTTCGCGAGAGGGCGTCGCGGGTCCGGGTCCGTCGGTTTCGCTCCCCGGCCGCTTTCGCCAAGGGGAGGTTTGCTAAAGGGAGGTTCCTCCACCGCCGAGGGGTGCCCGCGAGCGCCCGCGGGGCGCCCACGGGCGGGCACCCCCGAGCTGTGGGCGGACCCGCCCAGGGCACGAGGCGTCCACGGGCGGGAGCGTGGAACGTCCTCGACGCACCCGTGGAGTGACGTGAGCACGCAAGAGCCACGAAGAGCAGGTGCTGCTGGGGGCAGATGCACCACGGCCCTGCCCCCCCCCCCGAGGTCCCCGTCCACCTCCGTACGGCTTTGCCTGCTTTCTGTTGCTGGCGGCGGTTGCAAGGTGCGCCCTTTGCCGCGCGCTTCACTGATGGCTGACGGTCGACAGGCCCTGTCGCCGAGGAGAAGAAGGTAAGAACCACAAAGAGCCAGTGTTGTTGGGGTAGATGCGCTAGTGGGTCTGGGCGCACCGTCGGGCGCGTGTACGGGACTCGTGTGCGTGTGCGATAGGGGTGGGGTAGATACAGGATCGGGAGGAGCCGCAGCGAGGAGGAGCAGTGCTCCAATTGAGGTACCAGGCGAGATGATAAGGGGATGCGTTGAGCAGTCGGAGTTGGAGAGATGGCGACGAGACGAGGGAGAAGAGGGTGACACATAGGAGGCACGGAGGACTAACCATGCATAAGGAGCGAGGAGGAGAAACGGTGAGACAGGAGAGGCGGAGGGAGAGTGAGGAGCAGGAGGAGGGAGGAGGCAGGGGGGAAGAGACAGCAGGGAGGGGGCAGGGGGAGCAGGAATTATGAGGAACGAACCAAAGGGGGGCGGAGGACAAGTAGGGAGGGCGAGGTGGACGGAGGAGGAGACGCAGGAGGAGTTGCCCGATCCTCTTTGCTGGTTGGGTCGGTCCTCCTGCACCTCCATGCTCCTTCTCGACAGCTCCCCCTCCCTCGCTCCTTCCTCTCCCGCGCTCTCTCCCTCCCCATTGCCGTCGCTCCCGTCCCCGTCTCCACCTCCCTCGCCCGCATCCTCGTCGTCGTCTGAGTCGTCGCCCGCACACTCCCTCGCCGCAGCCGTCGCTGTCCTCGCCGTCCGCGCCATGCCTCGTCGCCGCCCGGGGTGGCAGCCGTCGCCGCCGTCGTCGTGGCTGCCGTTCTCGAACCCGTCGTTGCCGCCGCCCTCCGCCCCGCCGCGGCCCCTGCCGAGAGGCCGCGGGCGCGCTCCCGGGCGCCTTCTGCCTGCCCTACAACGCGCCGCGGCCCCGCCCCGCCGCGCGCTTGTGCGTGTCGGCGGCGGCGGCGGTGGCGGCCGACGACCTCGTCGGCGGCCGACGGCCGCGGCGTAGACGGCGGCGGCGATGGTGGCGGTGATGATGACGGCGGCGTCGACGACGGGGACGACAACGGTGGCGGCGGCGACGACGGGGACGGCCCCAGGCGCCGCGAGTCCCCGCCGCCGCCCGTCTTCATCGGTCTTCGCAGTCGCTCGTCGTCATTTCGCTTCTGCTCGGCGTCGCCGCTGTGCACGGCGACGGCAGC